AGGAAATGAGGTCGAAGCACTCTGGGTGGCGCCAGTATCCAAAAGGAATTGAATGGCCTAGTTCTTACCTCCAGAATTACCCTCGGTGCAGTCCCACTGATGGTGACGGTGACTGGGCTGCCGACCAGTTCTGAAGGCCTCCTCATTCTTGGGCCATCACTTGGAGAGTGTCTGATCGAAGCCCCTTCGGCCCTGAGGGCAGTCAGCTTGCCAGCGGCCTCTCCTGCCTCACTCAGGGCAAGGAGTCTTTGGAAGCTTTGCCCTTAATTGGGCAATCTTTCTTCCAGTGTCCTGGTTTTCTGCAATGACGACAGATGTCTTCAGGGCTAGAGGTCCTGTGGAGAAAGGAAGAGGTGGACTCTAAGAGCTGCAGCCTTTCTCTTACCCCCCTTTTTCTCTTTTCACCCGTTTCCTCTCAGTCTCCATTACAAAAGACCTGGGAGGCTACCTGGGGGAGGCCATCAAGGGAAGTCCCAGGACCCGCTACCATTTTTTTGTGATTTCTTTCTAATATCTGGAGTGGACTGAGTGATGAGTTTATCTTTTAAAATAAGTTGCCCTTTAAGAGATGTAGGAGGGAAGAGTGTATATTTTACTAAAACTTCCTTCAATCTTTCTAGAAAAGCTGTGAGATTTTTCTCTAACCTCTGATCAATAGTTGCCAATTTCATGTAATTAATAGGTTCTATCCTACTGTTTTAAAGTCCTGCTATAAGACAAGTGATCATGGGATCCCTAAGCCACCTGCCAATTGATTCATCGTAATTCCATTGAGGGTCCTCAGTTGGGACAGCTGAAGGACCCACAGGGTATAAAGTGTAGGTAATCATTTCCCAGAACCCTAGCCGCTTCTGTTACCCGATGTCTCTCTGTGTCTGTTAGAGTTTGACTCAAAATTTCTGTTTTTGTCTCCCTAGGTTAGATCAAAAGTTTGGGTTAAATGTTGAAATCCCTCTATATATTTATCAGGGTCATTAGAAAACTTCCCCAAATCCTGCTTAATTTGTTTTAGATCTCGCATAGAAAAAGGCACCTGTATTCTGACTGTCCCAAATTCTCCACTTGTTTCTTGTAATGGGCGTCATCTGGTCGTAGGCTCAGTGGGGACAGGCTTGTGACAAAACAAACAGGAGCAGTAGGTAATGGTGGACAGAGAAGAGTGGAAGAATTAGACTTTGATGGATCTGAGTGTGAAGCACACGGTTGAGAGGGAGGAAGGTGGAGTTTTAGGGGATCCTGTAGGCCAGCAGTGTCATGACTCATCATTGCTATAAGAGCATCATCAAAGAAAGCCTCTATGTAGAAGACTTCTGACCATTTCCCTTCTTTTCTGCAAAAAAGAATCTAATTGGGAAAGAGTATTATAGTTTGGACTCTCATTGATGAGCCATTTCTCTTTATCCCCTAATTCATATTAAGGCCATGCAACATTATAAAAGAAAATTAGTCTCTTCTTCTTGAAGGTCTGTGGGTCAAAACAGTCCCAGTTTTTCAGGATACACTGCAAGGGGATGGTAGACAATATTGATGATTGATTTCCATCAGTGAAACAAATAAGGCCAGAGTCTGTCATACCCCAGGTGTCCCTCAGCAGTACTGACATCCGAGAGATGACCATAAAAAGCCTCCCTCCCATACAGTCCACTTTAACCCAGAAACAGGATGCATCCCTGTGTGGTTCCCAAGAGCTTGGTGTAGCATGCCTGTCCAAGCTCCGCAACTTGTGGCTTGTTTGCTGAACCCTCTGTCACTCAAGCTTGTAATTTAAGAAACATTTTTAATAACTTTATGCCAGCCAGTGATATAACTTGGGGACGTGACCCTTAATCCTTTTGCATCGAATTTTAAGAGTAGCATAGACCTGGTATTGGAGAGTAGAAGGGAATGGAGTTTTTGTGTCACTGTGTTGGAAACATCGAAAGTCCCAAAACAATAACAACAATAAATAAGTGACATAGAAAAGAACAAGGATCACAGTGTTGTTCCGCTATCTCTTTGAATATAAATATGAGGGGACATAGTGTCCAGGAAGAGTCACTATACATTCCCACTTCATTATATATTTTTTACATTTTTTACATTTTTATTTTGTGGAGCTGGGAATTGAACCCAGGGCCTCATGCATGCTAAGCAAATGCTTCATCACTGAGCCATACCCCCAACCCACAGAGTCACTATATGCTAAGGACAAAAATTACTGTTTTGGTAAAGAAAAGAAAACCAGTTGAGAAGAGGTTTAATAGCTGCGAGGTATCTTAAACTAACTAGTACCCAGTAAGGTGATTTGTAAGTAGGTAAAGATGGTGAGCTCATTACCCTCCAGATTCTGGATATGGCCTCTAATAGAAGGTGATGGTGTCCTTCCTGAAGAGAGTCAGGTATACACCATCAGATGACAGCCTCAACAGTGGAGGAGTCCCAGTGCCGCCGTAGTGGCCCTGCTCAAAAAGCCACAAAAAGCAAGAGAGCGTGCAAGTCTTCATGCCAGCCAGAGAAAACAAGGTGTCACGGAGGTTACTGATTGCAGAAAAGATGAACAAATACAAGACGATGATATAAGACAAAGAGCACAGGTGTGTCACACGGAAGGGCTTTTGGCAGAAGGAAGTGTACGCGGCCAAGTCCAAGGCAAAAGGCAAGGTATCAGAGGCTAGGTTAGACGTCATCTCAACCAAGGCTGGGAGACGAGCAAGGTGAAATTTAAATACCTGTTCTGTCGATGGCTGTCGATCCAAGTCGAGGCACCAGGTCAGATGTCACTGGAGAGTGGGGAGCTGAAGCTGCAAACCTCGGTTCTGGTGTTCCAATGAAAGAAAATTGGAAGTCTGCCACCCAACGTCATGCAAGAGATTATAAGAGAAAGTAAAGTAAAAGCAGAGTAAGGTTCAAGCAGAGAGCACTCTCAAGAGAGTGGGTCATCTCAGAGCAGAGAAAGAGTAACAATGCCTCCCCAAATTTATTACTGTTTTATGGCTGCTCTGAGAAGTGGGGTCCACCTTCTTTACTCTGCCAATCAGGTGTCAAACTCCTCCTTCGTGTGGGTCAGAGGAGTTTTTGACCCTAATTGGTCCTCTCTGGAGCTGTCATGGTGGCCACCCTATTCAGGGGGCTTCATCTACAAGTCAATCCTATGTTAATGTGGGTATTGGGGTCAGTGGCCGGTCACAAGTTGTCTTAGTGTGCCTGCGCTACTAAAGAAACTTCCTTTCCAAGATATATGGAGGTGCTGATGGCCCTAACTCCTGGCTTCACGCTGACCTCAGTGGACTCTGTCAACAGTTAGTCCCTTTCTTGACGTATTTCTCCAATGAGCTCCGTTCCCTTCTGTTTGTTTATTCTCAAGATCTGGGTACTCGGTGTTTTTCTATAGGTTATCCATTAGCTGTTGTTTTCTCATCTGCTTTGAAAGTTGTTTAAAGACTCTAAAAGTAACTTAAAGAACACCTGCGACCTTGCTGTGCGTGTCATTACCAGTTACTACCTAAGAGTCGCAGTGGGGCTGAGCATTTGTGACAGAGACTGTGGAGTCCACAAAACCTTCCCAGAAGGAGCTAGCTGACCCGGGTCTATTCGAGGATAACCAACCTCAAGTCAACTTTTTTACCACGCCAAGGAAAAAGTCAGATGCAGAAAGCTATACAGTACATGATTCCATTTTTACAGAAATACTTTAAAAAGATACAACTCTGGAGATGGAAAGCAGAGTAGTGGTGCTGGGGCGAGGGGACAAAGAGCGGCAGACTGAAGAGTCACAGGGGGCAGGAGACCTCTGAGGCTGGGCTATGGGATGACCACACAGCTCTGTAAATTAACTAAAACTCACCAAGCAGCACACTTAGAACCGGCAGGCTTTACGATCTGTGATACCTCAGTAATGCTGTCCAACTGACTGCAGCGGCTGCACAGCTCGGTCCTTCTCCACCACCTGGCGCCTGGCACAGGGGACTCCATAAACATTTGCTGACTAAATCGAGAAAATTTATGAGAATTTCAAAGAATTAATACTGCTTCCTAGGTGTTCAGACATTGACCCTTTGCAGAGTGACATGGGTCTTTCTCCACACACACCCCTGCTGATGAGGAGCAGGTCCTGTGGATTCCTCCTTGATGGCCTCCTTCGAAGCACCTCTGTGACCAACAGCCTTGGAAGACACAGCAGGCTTTGGCTGCTTTCCACCAGGCCACCCCTGCACCTCAGTGTCACTGTCTTCTCAATCAAGACCTCTGTTTATTTTTGGATGGAAGCTGATTGCCGGGGAGTCAGGGGGCAGGGCCACCCCAACAGCCTCAGATTTGGACCCCTGGATCTCATCAGGCTGCCTTGGTTATGCAATGGGGGAGGGACTCAGGGCCTCTTGAAGGAAATGGCAGAAGACCCAGAGAACAAGGGGCTCTTGGGTGCTGGGAAAGGTCCCACCAGAGGGCACCTTAGCTCCCTGCTTTATCAGTGACAGGAGCTGGGCTACAGGGCGGTTAGGATGTAGACTTGGACAGGGTGAGTGTGGTGTCCACACCCAGAGCAGGATCCACACATACATCTCCAGGGCTGTAGTAACCTGACTGTGGTGTAGGGACAGACCCCTTCAAGTGCCTCCTCTCTACTCTCTCCCCAGTCTCTCCAAGGCCATCTCCTTCTCCCGAGTAACCTCCAAGGCCACTTCCTTCCCAGCCTCCTCCAAGGCTCCCCTCCCCCACAGCCCCTCCAAGGCCATCCCTCCCCCCTTTCCCTACCTTCCAAGACTCCTGCCTCCCCTGTCCCTCCAAGTTCCCCCCTCCATCCCTCCTCCAGGGATATGCCTTCTCCACCTGGAGACTCCAGCTGCCTGATACCAGAGGGGACACCACAGCCTGTGGTGGCCAGCACTCTCAGGAACCCAGGCTGGATCACCATGAGGCTGGAATTAAAGGAACCCCAGCTGTCATTACCCAAATTCATAAAGACAGGCAGAGAAAACTACAATAAATAATTTAATTAAAATTCCAAACACAAAAGCATTAATGTTAATATTTGATTGTTGGAAAATATACACAGCCTTTCCCCATGTTAACATAAACACTGGCAACACTGGTAACAACACCCACTGAAACAAAATCATTTAGGCACTTGGGTGTAGAAAGTGGGGAAGAATAAAATACAATCTTTACTGCTGCTCCCATGAGGTCTGAGGAGCTGTTCTTAACACGGCCAGCGTTACTGATGAAAACCGGTGGCCATGCACCTCCCGGGGCAAGGTCCAGTACATTTAAAATGGGAAAACTTCATAAGATTTCCAATTCTTTTCAGTCTGAGATAGAACCCAAAGAAAGATGACATTTCCTTTTAACTACTTTGGCTTTTTTTCTTCATTCTTGAATAGTTAAGAACGTGACTGGTGGGCACTTAAACAGGACAGGACCCAGGGATGCACGTGAGGTTCAGGAAAGTAAAGTGTCTGACAACTTGCTTTCTTGTGAGGTCACTGGCCTTCAATTTTAACCTTAACTCAGGTGGGATTTTGGGGGGCCTCTGAATAAAACCCAAAATACAGAACCACCAGCATGTCACTCAGAGTGGGCCCAGAGCACCTTCCTGGAGGATGAACAGCAGGGTTGTCCTGGTGTCTTCTTCTTGCTGTGGTCCTCTTGGGCTGCAGACAAGGTGTCAAGGCTGTGGATGTGGCCGGGGAGGCTGAGCTGGGTGCTGGCCCCGAAGCCGGTGGTCACTGAGCGGTCGCAGCAGCCTGCATGTGCTGTAGGAGCTGCTCACAGTAGGTGGCTGAGCGGTGCTTGTGGATGACGGCCTCGGTCTCCCGTACTAGGAGGTCTGGAAACAGCACGCTGCCCTCTTTGAGGACCTCTGCAAAACAGCGAAACCCCTTGAAGATGCCAGAAGCCAACGGCAAGCAGCCTTGTGTTCCGCACCCAAGCCCCCAGGTCAGAATGTGTGACCATTTCGAAGGCTGATGAGGTCACAGTGTGCGCAGAAGGAACTTACAACAGTCCCCTTGGAGCTGCTGGGGAACACAGAGCGGGCATCGTTTATGTGTCGGCAGGACCTTGGTAGCATCTGAACCCAGGGGCTCTACCACTGATCTACACCCCAGCCCTCCTTTTCTTATTTGAAAAATAACATTTTTATTTAAGAATCAAAATGTGGGCTGGGGATGTGGCTCAAGCGGTAGTGCGCTCGCCTGGCATGCGTGCGGCCCGGGTTCGATCCTCAGCACCACATACCAACAAAGATGTTGTGTCCGCCGAGAACTAAAAAATAAAATATTAAAAAAATTCTCTCTCTCTCTCTCTCTCTCTCCTCTCTCAATCTCTCTTTAAAAAAAAAAAAAAGAATCAAAATGTAATTAGTCATTTGTGATATGCTTCTTGCTCAACAGCGGGTCTAACTGGTAGAGGTATTTAGAGGGTTGCTAGGATGTGAGGACAGGGAGTAGAAGGTAAAGATATTACAACAATGTTGTTCAACTTTGAAGTTTTCTTAAGGCCTTTCTTTACCTTCTGAGTCGTGAAATTATTTCACTTAGAAGTCTTTCTTCCATTTACTTCCTACCAAAATTTCTCCTTCTTTTATATTTTCTAGTTCATAATTTTAAAAAATTTTTGCTTTTTTTAGTTATATATGACAATAAAACGTATTTTGACATATTATACAAACCTGGAATGTAACTTCCCATTCCTGTGGTTGTACATGATGTGGAGTTACACTGGTGGTGCATTCAGATATGAACATAGGAAAGTGACGTCCGATTCATTCTTTCCTATTCTGATCCCCCTCCCTTCCCTTCATCCCCCTTTGTCTAATCCAGTGAACTTCTATTCTTCCCTCCCTCCCCTTATTGTGTGTTAGCATCTGCATATCAGAGAGAACCTCTGATCCCAGCTCTTTTATTTTGAGACAGGGTCATAAGTTGGTGAGGTTGGTCTTAAACTCAAGGTCCTCCTGCCTCAGTCTTCCAAGTCACTAGGATTGCTTAAGAAATTGTAGGACAATGCCTATGTAAATTTAAATGTCACAGTAACAATGAATTCTTGCTAGTTTATATAAATATATCCCATTGGCTGCAGTGGCCATGCCTGTAATCCCTGATTCAGGAGGCTGAGGTAGGAGGATTGTAAATTGGAGGCCAGCCTCAGCAATTTAGAAAGGGCGTAAGCAATTTAGTTAGAACCTATTGCAAAGTGAAAAATTAAAAGAGCTGGGGATGAGCACTCCTAAGTCAATCCCAAGTACCAATTAACAAACAAAAGCCACATGCTTCCCCAGCAGGTGTTTGAGCCAAAGCAGTCCTGACACTCCCATTTACTCCCAGTGGTTCTTYCCCTCCAGTGGAGGCCTCTGTGCATGACTGTTGCTGGCATCACAAAAGCAATGTTGCTATCGTTAAGTGCAAGATGGACTGATGGACTGTATGGGGGGGAGTACGAGGTTCCTGAGGTGTCGTCCATTTGCTGGGTAAGGAATCTCAGGAACTAGTGTTTCTCCATTGGTACCGCTGGTACTATATGGTACCAGAGGGGAGGACCCACAATTATCTGAAAAGGCTTTAAAAATGCCCTTTGTGGGCTGGGGTTGTGGCTCAGTGGTAGAGCGCTTGCCTCGCATGTGTGAGGCCCTGGATTTGATCCTCAGCACCACATACAAATAAATAAATAAAAGAAAAAAAATTGCCCTTTGCTACTCCAGTTGAATGTGAGGTGGAGGTGGGGACACATCTTTTTCCGGTTTCAACCAAAGAACTACAGGCCCCACAGGACTGGAGGCAGCGGCAGATGTGAGAATCTAGTCACCTCTCATCAAGCTGATGTTAGAGAGAGTTGCAAAATGTAAGAGCTCCACCACTCTTCTGCTGTTTTGTTTTAGAAAACATGTTTCCCAAAACACAAGTTATTTGTGTTGGTACATAATGGGTCTATTGTTATGTTAGCTTTTATTTTATTTATTTTTTTAGTATCAGGGATTGACCCTGGGAGTGTCCTACCAATGAGCTAATCCCCAGCCCTTTTTGAAATTTTTTTGTTGTTGTTTTTTTAAATTTTGAGAGAGGGTCTGGCTAAGTTGCCGAGAGGGCCTTGAACTTATGATCCTTCTGCCTTAGCCTTCAGAGTTACTGGGATCATAGGCATGCGTCACCACTCTCAGTTACTGTTATTTTAAACGAATTAACAATTACTAAAAAATTTCTCAACTTTTACTTCCTCATTATTGAAGGCCTTTGATATAATTCAGTACCCATTCATGATTAAAAAACTGAAGAAACTGGGGTCAGACAGAACCTACCTCAACATCATAAAGCAATCTAGGGAAAACCCAAAGCAAATGTCACAGAAAAACAGGAAGCATTTCTTTTAAAATCTGGTACAAGACAAGAATGTCCACTGTCACCACTCCTGTTTAACACTGCCAGAAACTCTAGCCAGAACAATTAGGCAACCAAAGAAAATAAAAGCGATAGGAATAGGAAAGGAAAAAGTCATGTCATCACTGTTTGAAGATGGTATGATTCTGTACCTAGAAGATCTAAAGAACTTCAAAAGATGTCGGAGCCAATAAACAAATTTACAAAGTAACAGGTTACAAAATCAACATATGAAAATCAACTGCTTTCCTATATACCAATAACAAATCTTCTGAGAAAGAAATCAGGAAAACAATTCCATTCACAATAGCCTCAAAAAAATAAAACACCTAGGAATAAATCTAACCAAGGAGGTGAAAGACTTCTCTATTACTACAGACTTCTCTATAACTGAAAACTAAAGAACACTGAAGAGAGAAATTGAAGAAGACCTCAGAAGATGGAAAGGCCTCTCTTGTTCACGGACAGGCAGAATTCATATTATTAAAATGACCATACTACTAAAAGCAATACACAGATTCAATGCAGTCCCCATCAAAATATCAATGACATGCTTCACAGAACTAGAAGAAACAGTCCTAAAATTCATTTGGAAGAATAAAACCCAGATAGCCAAAGCGATTAAGCCAAAAAAAGCAGTGCTGGAGGCATCACGATGCCCGACTTCAAGCTACACTGCAGAGTTAGAGTGACAAAAACGGCACTGTACCAACAGAGAAACAGACATGTTCTACCCTGTACAGTGGGACAGAATCCAAGACAGAGACACACCCACACATCCACACTCATCCAATCCTTGACAAAGGTGCCAAAAACATAACACTGGAGAAAAGACAGCCTTTTAAAAACAAATGGTGCTGGGACAACTGGTTATCCAAATGTAGAAGAAAGAAACTAGACCCTTACCTCTCACTCTGCACAAAAATCAACTCAAAACAAATCAGAGATCTTAGAATTAGATTAGAAACTAGAAGAAAACATAGGGTCAACACTCCAGCATATAGGCACATGCAATGACTTTCTCGATATGACCCACAAAGCTCAGGATATAGTGCCAAGAGTTAATAAATGGGATGATATTAAAGGACAAAGCTTTTGCACAGCAAAGGAAACAATTAGGAATGTAAAAGGAGAACTCACAGAATGGGAGAAAATCTTTGCCAGCTATTCTTCTCACAGAGAATCGTATCTAAAATATATAAAGAACTCCAAAAAACCCCAACCCCCCCAAAAAAAAACCCTTTACACCAAAAATCAAATAACCAAATTAATAAAATAGGCAAACAAATTAAACAGACACTTTTTAAAAGAAGAAATACAAGGGCCAACAAATATATGAAAAAAAGTTCAACATCATTAGTAATTAGTGAAATGCAAATCAAAACTATGCTGAAATTTCATCTCACACGCCAGAATGGCAGTTATCAAGAATATAAACAATAATAAATGTTGGAAAGAATGTGGAGAAAAAGGAAAACTTTTTAAATTTCTCAATTTTTATTTTTTAACTGTAGATGGACACAATACCTTTATTCATTTTTATGTGGTGCTGAGGATTGAACCTAGTGCTTCACATGTGCTAGGCAATTGAGCCACAACCCCAGCCCCAAAGAATACTTTTATATTGCTGGTGGGATTATAAATTAGTACAACCACTATGGAAATCAGTATGGAGGCTCCTCAAAAGGACAGGTATGGAACCATCATATGACCCAGCTAAACCCATGTCTTGGTATTTATCCTAAAGAATTAAAGATCATCACACTACAGTGATACATACATACTCATGTTTAGAGCAGCAATAATTCATAGTAGCCAAACTAAGGAACCAGCCTAGAATTCCATCAACAGATGAATGGATGAAGAAAATGTGGTATATATACACAACAGAGTTTTATTCAGGCATAAAGAAAAATGAAATTATATAATTTGCAAGAAAATAGATGTAACTAGAGACCATTATGTGAAGTAAGTCAACCTTAGGTCAAGGGTCATATGCTTTCTCTCATTTGTGAAAACTAGACAAGAAAAAGGAAAAGAAAGGTGGGGGCAGAGTTCATGAAAATCAAAGGGAGACCAGCAGAGGAGAGGGACCAAGGGGTAAGAGGTGGGGTGGGCAGAAGGAATGCTGGGGACGATGTTGGCCGGATTACGTGGTCATCTTGTGTACTGTGCGAGTGTACAAATTTGTAACAACAAATCCCATCCGTATGCACTATTACAATGCACCAACAAAAAAAGGGGGAAACCATTTTCTCAACTTTAATTCCTACGATGGTATCAGCACTAAAAGTCACAGAGACAAAGCTGGGCGGGACGGCCACAGTCTCCTGAGTGCAGCTGCTGCCCCTGGTGTGTGCAGGCACAGGGCCATTAGCTTACCTAAGATTGCGTCCTGGATGGTGCGCTCGGGGTCATCCAGGTGCACAAGGAGCTCCCGGTACAGGTACTGAATGCTGCTCTGATAGTAGGCTCTCCCCTCGGAGCTCTGGACGCACTGCAGCCAGGTGAGCAAGGTGGAGGCCGCTGTCAGCCTCACTTCAGTAGACACGTCATCCAGGCGCTTCAAGAGCTCTAGGAGGAGCGGCCCGGACAGGAGTGAGAGGGTGCAGGCCGATACTTTGGGTGCAAAGATCCATTAATAATATTTAACCCACAAACTGGAGGCACTTGTTGTCCCACGAACCCATACCTAGAGGGAGACACCAGGCATTCAAGCTCTGAAGCCAAGGCTCTCTGTGCTGGCCTGGGCCTAGGTTGTACTGTCTTCTAACACCTGCCTGCAGGCTCGGCAGCTCCATCCCGCCCAGCCGCTGTGCCCAGAAGCTCCAAGATGTTGATCATATACAGGCCTCCCAGGCTGGCTGCCCATCTTTCCCTGCCAACAGCTGGCAGAGGGTTGGGTTGCTGACTCTTCCTCTCACCACTGTTGCCTCTGGATAGGGTCGAGGCAGTGACAGTGATGGCTCTGAGTTTGTTTCTATTGGCCACTGTGACCAGGCCACTCTGTCCCCCAAAACAGAACAATCTTTCCTGATGGGTGAAACTTTCAAAGTAAGAGAATAAGATTTTTAACCACATCTATACTTTTCTCCATAATCTTAAGAAAACTTTTGGCATCTGGAAGATTGGTATGGGTAGGAAGAGAAGGTGCTGGTGGGAGAGGCACACGGGTTGAATGTGTCCTCTCTCCTGCATGGAAGGCATGGAAAATATCCAAAGTTCAAGGTGTCCCACAAAGAGGGGCCTCTGACTTCCTCATGAGAGACACCTATGTGCTCCCACAGGTGCTGGGCATCTGCTGTAAACTGTGCAGAAGACGCACATCTGCACATCTAGGACTAGCACAGGGGAGGAAACTGCCCCAGGCACGCAGCATGATGTCCACACATGCTGTGAGGCAAGCACATCACCCTGGCTTCTCAGGATGAGGAATCAAGTGAGAGTCAGGATGTGTGCTGGCAGCCAGGGCACAGAGTCAAGTGCAAAGGCACACTCCTCCAGGTCTATGAGTGCCCGGGCCAAGTCCAGATCCCATGGGGCTGGTGCTTCCTCATGTAAACTCTGTAGCTGCAGAGAGAAGAGGCTGCCTGCAAGTTCACTTCTGTCACAGCTGCAACGTAACTGATGGAATTGATGCCTCCTGTCAGGGCTGGTCCTGCTATTCCCTTTCATCACAGTGGGTCAAGGTATCACTCTGACTCTGGGCAAGTAGGCAACAGTTCTTTTTTTTTTTTTTTTTTTTAATTTTTTAAATATTTATTTATTTTTAGTTATTAGTGGACACAACATCTTTGTTTGCACGTGGTGCTGAGGATCGAACCTGGGCCGCACGCATGCCAGGCGAGCGCGCTACCGCTTGAGCCACATCCCCAGCCGGGCAACAGTTCTTTTAACACATCACCTTGAGAGCACAGAAGGGCACTGAGAGGTACAGGAACCTTCTGAATTCTTTTGTCATGAAAATAACCACACCTCTGCTGTAAACTGCAGGACAAACTCCAACATGTGCAGTCTCCTCCTGGCTTTTCTTTTTAAAAGCAAACAGCGACTAGACTGACCTGGGCAGTCAGCAAGTCACACTGGACAAGCCTGCCCTAAAATAGAATCCTAAAGACTGTAGGTGGGAACAAAACGTCTGTTCCAACAAAAATAAAACAAAAACTTATAAAAAGCAAAGCTGAGAGGTGAGAAGGCTCTGGACTTTAGGTTTCTTCAGGAGGCACAAGTGTCTGTCCTGCAGCGGGACTGAGAGTCTGCAGAGGGCTGCGCACTCCTGTCTCTCCCAGGTGCCTCCCAACTCCTCTCAGGCCACACCTCACTTTCTCTTCCATGCCTTCAACACACTGAACTTTATATTCCAGAACTTATTTTCATTTACAGAAGTCTTTGAAGACCATCTTTTGGAAATTAAGTGTGTGGGTGCTCCCATTTTAAGAAATAAGCAATAACAGATATGCAGTGCTCTCCCACTAGCCCCACCCCAGCCCCTACTGGTTCTTTTCACATCACCTGGCTGCTCTTTATTCCTGCTTGCCTTCTGTTTTCTCTGGTGTTTTTAATGGATGGTACTCTCTTAGCTTCTGAAGAGAGAATGTGAGGCAGGCCCACATTCTGGCTGAGTTGCATCTACAACTGCCCATCGCTCTGGGACTGGCCTTCCCTGTTCTTCTGCCACTGTATTTGCAAGCTCCCCCAGAGCCACTGAATTTCCTTCTGAGTTCCTGGTTTGGTTCAGCACATCCTTTTCTTGGTGGCTCCTAACTGACCACCTGGCTCCCACCCCTCCTGCATTCATCTCAGTCTGGGATGTCTGTTCTGTCCCTGTCTGCTGCACAGGTCTGGCTTCAGAATAGGGGCACGCTCTCCAGTGTATTGTGAAGGAAGCTGTCCTGGATTTTATTTTCACAGTGAGGGCCTGGCCACAGCACCCGCCGGAGCAGGGGTCCCTGCTACCCTTATGGTCATGCACCCTGGCTGCGGTGGACATGGAGTTTTGTCCTCCCCGCCCTCACTCTGGTCTAGAAATGTCCACCTTCTCCATGTTCTACTCACTGGGTGTTTTATATCTGTCATTGTTGGATCTGACTTGTAGAACCAACTCAGCCAGAAGTCAAAGAATGCTTGACAGCATTTTGCCGACAAATGGAAAAACAACATGCTTTGATGAACAGTGTCCTACCTGGATAAATCTTGATGAGTTTATCTGGATCCATTGTGTCACCAGCTGTCTTTAAAAATGTGTTCAGGACACGGCAGGAAATAAGCCGGGTGGTCTGGGTGTCCTCCTCCAGGGTGGCCAGCACCTGTGGCATCAGTGCTTCCCGCACTTCCTGCATCTGCAACCGGCCAGGGTGTGAGGGGATGCCTGGAAGGTGTCCTGCCCATCAGAACACTACTTGGCGCCCCTGCCCGTAGAGCAGTTCCCAAATCACAGGCATTGTGCAGTCTGAAGGGCTGTTTTGAAAGTTCTACTTGGAAGTAAACTTATTTTAAAACTTGCACAATTTGAAAATTTTTTATTTTATTTTTTTAACTATTTATTTTTTTAGTTTTACGTGGATGCAATATCTTTATTTATTTATTTATTTATAATTTATGTGGTGCTGAGGATTGAACCCAGTGTCTCATGCATGTTAGGTGAGCACTCTACCACTGAGCCACAACCCCAGGCCAACATTTTTTATTTTAATGTGGTCAGCTGACTTTTAGCAAGGCCCAAATCCTACTACCCAGTGCTGTGCAGGTCCAGCAGCATTTAGAGCATTAGCTTGAGTGACAGTCCTCCCATGTGCCAGGAGGGGGCGCTCGCATACTATGGGTGCCCAGCACAAAGGCCTTGAGGAGGATAAGACATTCACAAGGCCTGGCAGGAAGCCAAGGTTTTCTAGCTTGCCGATCCTTGCACAAGTTGGATATGCTAACAAGCAGAGCAGAAAGCCTGAGGCCTGTCCCCATTCAGGGACCCTGCTGTTAAATTCTTAGTCTTGTAAAGGATATTCAATAAATAAACCAAGAGGAGGAGACCAAATCCTTACCAGGCCCCCAGGTTACTCGAGGGCACAAAGCCTGTGGCCCTAACCCGCCAGCCCCCAGGTACAGCCCTCTGTGCATTCTCTCACTCCTTGTAAGAAAAGCACTGTGCTGGCCCCATGCATCCCCAAGTGAGGCCCCAGGTTTCCTGCTGCAGGTTTCCTTCTCATACCCAGACACGTCAGGCTGTCCCTACCTGTGTGGCTGACAGGATGTCACTGCTGGTGAGCGCCCACAGACAGGACACAGCAGCTGTGCGAATGGCTGCAGCTGTTCTCCCTGCTCTCCACTGCAGATTGGGAGCCAGGATGTCCTTCAGCACCATCTCCAGGTAGCCGTGGAACTGCCTGGAGCCAAAGCACGAAGGTGGGTGAGGGAGGCAGATGGATCCACGCCAAAGAAAGCACTTTAATTTGGGAAATGCACTGGGCTCAAAGAGCCAAACAGGAAGCACTGGAAGTGACACCCACAGGAGAACTTCCATTCCTGGGGAGGAGGTGGCCGAGGGCTAGGCTGCTTCTCCAGTGGAAGAGGGAGCTGCTGCCCAGCCACCAGGGAGAATCACAGTGGGCATGGCAGGGCTGCTCTTCCAAGGACTCTGGTGGCCTCTTCTTGGACCAGTGGTAGGTCCTGGTTTTCGGGGGAACTCTACAGCCTGAGGATGTGTTTCAGTCTCTTTAAAACCAGGGGCTGCAGCTCCAGTGGCTTCATGGAAAAGGCCTGAACTACCTTGACCCCTGCCACAGCGGCTCCCCGGCCCAGCAGACTCACATCCATCTGTGTTCACTTTTCGGAAACTGGCCAATGGGTTCCTTCGACCACGCAACACTCCACCTCAGCAAGGGCAGCAGCTGTGGGGCCGCCAGGCTTCAGGGAGGGAAGAAGCTCCTGCCAAGAGCCAGGGCGGCTTCATTCTACTGGTGGCCAACTAGCTCCCTGAGTGTCAGGACAAACAATACAGAACCCAGCCTATGCACTTTCACCTCAGCTCTGTAGCTCTGCATTTGCATGCCTGAGTGCCCTGATAAAATGGCAGAAGCCTCACATATCTTGCTGGTTCCTGCACCTGCAGGCCCCTCCTGACAGGTCCTGTCTCCAGTACCAGCTGTGCCAGTGAGAGACCACCCCACATGCGTGGCCCTCTCTTTTGAAGGCTCCAGGTGCTTGCCCCCAGCAGGGCTTTAGGGCTGGGAGGGAGGTGGACAAGTAAACCTGGAGGGGGATGCAGCTGCGTGTCTGTATCCATGTGTTTTAATTTTTAAGCACAGAGCCATCATGTCCTGCAGTGATTCATAAGAGGACTTCTTGGAATGACCAAGCGCCCTGCACCTGTTTCCGAGATGGTTCAGGTAAAAGTGCCCTCAAAAAGCTGTGGGCTTGGGGCTCAAGCGGTAGCGCACTCGCCTGGCATGCGTGCGGCCCGGGTTCGATCCTCGGCACCACATACCAACAAAGATGTTGTGTCTGCCGAGAACTAAAAAAAATAAAAAATAAATAAATATTAAACAATTCTCTCCCTCCCTCCCTCCCTCCCTCTCTCTCTCTCTCTTTAAAAAAAAAAAAATGCTCTCTCTCTTTAAAAAAAAAAAGTTAAAAAGTTGTGGGCTTAAAGGTGAGGGTGAGTACTGAGTGCTGGCTGGACCCCTGCCCTCAGGATGGCTGTAGTCACATGGTTCCAGGAGACCCTGCCATAGGCACCATTAAAACAAAGGGAGTAAGAAAAGGACAAATCCCTTTGAAATAGGAGTACTGTAAAGATGCACACCAGGCCCTGCTATCATTAAGACATGTCCGAGTGACACATCCGAAAGGTCCCTTCAAAACAGAGGACCCTGCTCTGCCAAGAGGCCTAATGGAATGGGACAAGGCCCAAAAGATCACACACATCACCTTCCCTGGCAGCAATTTTTTTTTAATATTTATTTTTTTGTTTTCAGTGGACACAACATCTTTATTTTATTTGTATGTGGTGCTGAGGATCGAACCCAGTGCCCCGCGCTTGCCAGGCGAGCACACTACCGCTTGAGCCACATCCCCAGCCCCCTGGCAGCAATTTTTAAGTAAATCTTTTACTCTCAGGTTGGCAAAATGTTTCCAGTTCACAACCCAGAGGACCGGAGTGAATGGTGGCAGCCCGGGACATGTTCCTGTACCAGCTCCTCCCCACATCTCCTATCAGATGCTCTGGCGAGAGTAGGAAGCTGTGAGGAGGAGGCAAACAGGAGTGAAGACAAGCATCCCTTGGCAGGTCACTCCACAGGCCACTCTAGGAGGGAAGGCCCTGTCACAACCAGGCCTGCAGGGAGCCTGCCAGCCACAGGAGCCAGGGGCCTGCATAGGACGAGTATGCTGGGCTGGCGGCTGGTACGCATCCTACTCTGGAAAGGGACCTGCTCTCTAGATACACCCAAAGATAGCATACCTGGACACGAGGCAGTCCTGCCCAGACGTCCCTCACTGTCGCTTTGGGGTTTCTGGTAGATATAAGAAGGCCCTGGGAGCCCTTTAATAGTCCATGAACCTGAACCTCCCGGTCACCTTCAGGTGCTGCTATCTGTTCTCCGAGGTGCTCGGGAGTTGCTGACAGCGACCCCACTCTGCATGGGCCACAGCCAGCAGTGGCTCCTCCCTGCAGTCCAGTCATGTCAACTAGACATGTTCTATCACGTTATGATCCCCAGGTAAAAAGCAAACGACATCATGTTTTAAATCTTTTCTTCACCAGAACAACTGTACTTTGAATAATTTGTTCTCCTGATGCCAATCTCCTTCCATGAGGAGCCCTTAGTGCATGTCTGGAATGCTGGGCTCATGGGCTTAGCTGTGCTCATGGAAGAGTGTTTGCTGTTCTTCTAGATAAACGGTGGAGTGCGGAGAGGCCACGGCCTGGCCAGTCCTCATGGCTGTGCTGCCTCCCGGTCAACCACGTGTGTGTCTGCCTGCTTGTGGCTGGCTGCCAAGGAGCTCATTAATGCTATTTTATGGACCCTTCTAGCCCTGAGGTTTTTGCAGACAAGCAGGAAACAAAATTTCCTGACGGCTGGCTAGAGGCCCAATAGCAGAGAGGAGATTAGGGTTGCAATCAAGGAGAAGTGTGAATGACTAAACTATTTCCACAGGAAACTTTACAGTTGTGGCTACACTCTGCATAGACTGGCTTGTTCCCTGGCAGGGGAGAAGTCAGGTATCAATAGCCAAAACACTCAGGTCTCCATCTGTGAGACCCAGGCGCACAGGCCCCACCGCCTCTCCTACCTGCTCCTGGTCAACTGGGGTGGTGCCCAGTGTGACTGTGGACACTCTCTGACTTACAAAGGAGGACAAGCAGCAGGGAGTGGCTGGCCTCATCCCCAGGTTTCCCCCCTTCAGAGTGACCTTGGGATCTGAAGTGCTCCTCCTCCAGATACTGGTTCTCCTTCTCCATGGTCTTTGTCTGCCCTTTTCTTACTTCAAAGCCGTAAGAGTGGAGGCCCTTTCTGTTTTAATGCTTACCTAAAAGTTCTTTAGATAACGGGAGACTATGTCTAACTCTAACCATTGATGGTGATTCAATCAGTTCTTTGTTAGGTTTGAAAGGTACCAAAAAGCTTTTAAAATGGAGAACAGCTAATATATAAACCATTAATAGTTAATGTTCCCTAAAACTTTTTCATTCAAGGAATTTTAATGACCACACTAAAATCACTTTGATTTAGTGTCTCAGTGTTTCTCTGCTGTGCACTACTGTCCCGATCTTGTTGTTTACCCAGTGAGGAGAAACCCAGGGCCTCAGGTCACCAAGAAGCTTAGGGGTGGCTTCAAGCTCCCACCTTAGACCTCAGGGGGAGCGCTGCCCTATAGTGTGGAGATGGGTCCTAGCTGGGCTCTGCACCGACTTGGAACCAACCTACCCCTGTGAGTCAATGGTGTCCTTGGGTCTTAGCAGCACTGAGGAGAGGACAGAGAAGAGCTTCAGGCGCATGTGTGGGTCTTTGGCAGGTTGCAGACAGGCCCGTAGGGTGGGGACCATGTGTTGCAGCGCTTCTCCAACAGCAGGGCCTGTAAGACAGACAGACAGGGTGGTGGCAAGCTGTAGACATCCCTGTGATGGGGGGCCTGGCTGAGAAGGAAAGAGACCCAGGAGCATGTGAGCTTGGGAAAGGCCTGCTGTGGCTCACATCACAAGAAAAAGAAAGATAGACCAGAATCATTAAATACATGTACACCCATATATACATTCTTCCCATACCACGAGGAGACTTCGCATATAGGTTGGCATTTGATCTGAAAGCTCACTGAATTATGGCCCCAAAGAAACAATCTCTGCTGTCATACTGACTGATGTAAACATGGGCCTCCCAGAAAATTCTTCACTGTCCTGTGCCAACAAATAGGACTTCATAGTTTAGAACGAATACAAGTTTCTCGAGCCTATATTCTCTTCAGCATGTTTTTTGCTAAATCTGTGATAAATTAGAGAACAAGCCAAGTGACTTAAACTTTTGCTCTTTTAAGATTCAGCATCTCAAATCCCAGTGCTGTCTAAGCCTGCAAGATGGAAACAGGGAAGCCGGGTGCAGAGGGCTCATTCATCCCCGGAAACCATGTACAAATGCTACCAAGATGTTGGAAAAAGGAATTGCTGTATTAAGAAGTGGGATCCCCAAAGTACACATAGGCACCAGGGGTTTGCTCAGCACGGCATGGGTGAGGGCCAGAGGATTGCTCAGACTCTGTCAACTCTGAACAAGTGATAAATGTATCAAAATGTTCAGATGAGAGAAGGAGAGAGAACATTCAGGGTAAATACCAATCTCCCAAGACCGAAGTTCTATTCACAAAAAGTAGAGAGACAAGATGCATAAAGGAAAGTGTAAGGCTCAATGGATGCCTCTGGCCTCCCTCTTGCAAACAGTTTTAACTTGAGCATTTTACCAGCTATTCTTTACAAATTGAGACCCAACAAATTCTTATTTATATCTAAAGTCTGGGTCAAACACATACTAACAAAAATAAAGAGGGAAAAAAAAAATCCTAAAAAATGCAGGTATCTGTCCTTACTTAGGTATAAAGATGGGTGAATTTGAGCACCCAGTGAAGAGCCCTTGATACTCACACAACACTATGCTAGACTTGACCTTAGGAAGAGAATGTTAACTTTTGCAATGGCAGATGTGGACCTGCAGAGCCAGCATCCACAGGGGCTGGGCATCCACGTAGCAGTGGAGCTTCTGGGGTGCCACTCTGGAACATGGCTGGCATTGTGTTAATCAGAAAGTGTTTGGATAAAGGGTATTAAACGCACAACTTACACAAAAACGCTTCTGCCATCTGTGGGTCTGCCTTCAGGGTCAGTCAGTGTGCAGGGGAGCAGAGGCTAGACTGTTTCCAGCACAGCCTCACTCTCTCCTTAGGACACGGAAACTGCACGACAGCCACTGATAGACAGTTGCCACACCCAGGGAAGCAGCCCTGGCCATGGCCTTTTAAGTCAGGGGAGCTGACACTGCTGTTTGGGAATTGCCTTTTCAGATGGAAGGCCCAGTGACAAGCGTTCAACAGACAGTAAGTCCAGGATTCTTGGTGACCGGGGTGAGGGGTGTGAAGCTGAGCCTGACCCTATACCTCTGGCTGTTGATCCTTGGACATATCCCCGGACTCCTGGGTCTGTTCTGCTCTCTGTATGATGTATGAAAACATTTGTGCAGTGCTATCTGATATCATCACAGCCCCTGATGGTGTGACAGAGAGGACAGGGCCTTAGCACAGACCCTAAGAGTCCCCCTTGATCGTTCATGTCTAAGTCTCAAAAAATCACAATGGGACAGATCTCAGTGGCTGCACTGTGTCTCAAGCACACACACCTCTTGCCAGTACAGGGCAGTCCAAAGCTTGAAGCTCAGCGGATGGTGGGGGTGTGGCGGGAAGGCTCCGGACTGAGGCCGGTCTGAAAGAACAGTCTACCCACAGACCCTCTACGTGTGACTAGACCTGGCAGAGCTGGAGGCCACTAGAGGATCATGAAGTTTACCTGGGTCCTCATCTTCCCACCCTGGGGGGCTGATGCGGGGTTGGGGCAGGTGTCGTCTCCTGTTTGAGCATTTACTCAGGCAGACTCTCTAGGGACCTAGGTGAAGGGCCTTCCTGCCGTAAGATGACACCATTTCTGCCTTTCTGATCTTAACTGGAAACAAACTACCTTTGCTGGCCTAAATACAAAGTGAGCATAATGTCCCTGGGTCCTGGCATGGTGGCTGGAGTATGGGGAGAAGGGCCACGTGGCCCCCCAGGATGATACCCCAGGGCTGCGGCTCAGGTGGTACTTGTGAGGCAGTTCCTTGGGTATTAAGAATGTTAAAAGGGACAAAAACCAAAGGCAGAAAGGGCCTTAGGACCCTTGCCTTGCTGGTGCTCGCTCCCCTTGCCAGGGACGCACTGCTGCCCTTGTCCTCCCCTCTCCTCCTGTCACACTGCCCTGCTCCATGGGGCTCTGATGGTGGCCAGGCTCTTCTCCTGGGGGAATGACCTTATACTTTCAACTTCATGCTAGGTATTTGGATCACTTCCAATTCCTACTAGCACTTCATGCCCTGTTGAGTATTTTGGGTACAAAGCTCTTTCCACAGTTAGGATCAATTCTCCCAATGTGCCTGCTGAGCCAGCGTGGATACCCTCATTGCCCCAACTGCCCTTCATAAGGACTGCCTGCTCCACTGCCTGCCACATCCCAGGCACTGAGCTGATGACACGGGGATAGCCTTGTTATTTTTGGTCAAATTCGATAGATGGATTTGCAACTTGTATTTCTTTATTACCAGGAACACTGACAACTCTCTGCTCTGGCCACACACCAACGCTCTCCCACGGCTGCAAAGTCCTGCCTACAGCATGGGTCTGTGCTGTTCCCAACTCCTGTGAATCCCACACCACATAGGCCTGATGCTGGAGTTCACTGTGACACCTCCCCTTTTATTTGGCTTCATATAAAGGCACAGTTGTACCTATTTCTTTTCTTTATAGCCTCACTTTCTGGAAGTTTTAAATGTTTTATAACTAAAAAGCTGTCCTCTCATAGGACTTTTTTAAAAAAATGATTCTTTTTCTTTAAAATAAAGATGTTGTGTCCACCAAAAACTAAAAAATAAATACTAAAAAATTCTCTCTTTTAAAAAAAATTGTAGTTGTAGATGGACAGCATGCCTTCATTTTTATTTATTTTTTAATGCAGTGGTAAGGATCTAAGCCAGTGCCTCACACGTGTTAGGCAAGTGCTCTACCACCGAGCTATAGCCCTAGCCCCTCTCATAGGACTTTTATAACTAAGAAAAAATTTTACATCTCTCTTTTTGATTGATTGATAGATAGATACTAGGGATTGAATCTAGTGGTGCTTTACCATTTACCAGCCCCCTTTTCTTTTTAGAGAGAGTCTCACTAAGTTGCTTAGGGCTTCTCCAATTTTCTGAGGCTGGCCTTGAACTTGCAATCCTCCTGCCTCAGCCTCCTGAGTAACTGGAATTATAGGCATGTACCACCACACCCAGACTACAAAAAAACTCTCATATTTAAAAAACTATTCTAATCCTTTTGCTTTCTCCATTCATTACAGTAGTATATGCTCATCATAGAAAACTTGAAAAAAAAACAGAGAAGAATGCAAAAATAATCCATACTGCCTAGATACTGTGTTGGAAATATATCATATTTTGAGATTTTTTTTTGTACTTTTTGTTATTGATTTTTTTATTTTTAAAAATCAATTAATTTGGGCTGGGGATGTGGCTCAAGCGGTAGCGCACTCGCCTGGCATGTGTGGGATGCTGGGTTTAATCCTCAACACCACATAAAAATAAAATAAAGATAGTGTGTCCACCTAAAAAAAAAAAAACCTAAAAAATAAATATTTAAAAACATTAAATTAATTTATTTTACAGTAGAATGCATTTTGACATATAGTATACAAATGAAACACAACTTTTCATTCCTCTGGCTGTACATGGTTCAGAGTCACTCTACCAGTATAATAATATACTGGTATATAATATAATAATATATTATACAAATATAATATAAATATAATAATGTGCTCTACCAGCACATAACTGACACAGAATAACTCTGGACAAATGCACACACAAATGCACAGCAGAGACTCAGAAAAATACAGCTGGGATCACTGAATCAGTTTCAATGGTGATTTGGGGCTTAACATATTGCTAATGTCCTGTCTTTTGGTGTTATGATATGAGATGTACACTCAAATTTATTTTGCAAGTTGTCAATTAGTTATGCCAACACCATAAGAAATATTTTCAAATGGAAACAGAACCAAGGGAAATAGCCTCAGGTCCTGGCTTTCCTGCTAACTGCTGGTAAGGCCTGTCTCTGAGGGTGTGCTCACCTAGCATTCCGATCTCTGCATCCTGGAGTAATCTGATATGTGAGATCCTTTTGGGTGATAGTCAGCAAAACGTGAAATTACACAGACAAGGCCTCTGGGGTCCCAGCCTGTGGGGAGGGGCTGGATGCTGCCTGGGCTTATACCTCAGTCTGTCAGCTAGGACTCTGGGTCAGTCACCGGAGTTCCCTGTGCCTCTCCAGAGACAAGAACACAACAGGCTGATGTTTGAGGCAACTGGAGCAGTGACTGGCATGAGTGTCAATGCTGTCACGACCCTACTCTTTCTACTTTCTTTTCTACTTAGAGATAATTTTGCACATAACTGACAAAGAATAATTCTGGACTTCTTTCTAGGCCTTGGAGCACTGGCCACCAAGACCAACCATGGTGACTGACTGCTATGCTGCACAGAAGTCATAGGCTGACTTAGGCACCCTAGACCCAGGGTGTGATTGCAACATGCACACTTCAAAGTGGCACCACTTGGGGGAGCCACAGGAGTGGCAAGGAAAGGGACAGTGGGGGCCTATAGACCAGAAAAGGCTGACTTGCTGGACAAGTCTGACAACTTGGGAAATTGCAGGATGTATGCAATGAACCACTGCAGCTTCTGTTAATGGAGGCCTCATGAACACTCAGAGGTGCGTGTTCCACACTTGTAAGGAAGGGTCAGGCAGCATTGCTGTTCCTCTCAGAAAAAGCCCAAGTTTGGGGGCCCTGGGAGAATACAGAAAAGCTGAGGCCTCCAAGTGCCAAAGCCACCTTACTACATTCTTAGCACCAACATGGCTGGAGGTGCTGAGCACCACAAAAAAACCTATATGTATCTGAAATATACAGGCTATATAAAAGGCCATCAAATATTCCATTTCCAAAGTATTTTATGAAAAATGTGTGCCTGAAAAGAACTAAACAGAAACTTCTCAAAAGAAGAAACAAATGGCCAACAAACATGTGACAAAATGTTCAACATCTCTAACAATCAGGGAAATTCAAATCAAAACTACACGAAGACTTCATCTCACTCCAGTCAGAATGGCAATGTTCAAGAATACGAACCACAATAAGTGCTGGTAAGGTGGCTGGGAGAAAGGAACACTTGTACATTGTTGGTGGGCCTGCAGATTAGTACAACCACTCTGGAAAGGAGTATGGAGATTCCTCAAAAAACTAGGGATGGAACCACCATATGACGTAGCCATTGCAATCCTTGGTATTTTCCCAAACATCTAAAATTGGCATACTACTTGATACAGCCATCTCAGTGTTTATAGCAGCTCAATTCACAATAGCTAAATTATGGAATCAACCCAGATGTCTGTCAATAGATAAATGGATTAAGAAATTATCATGTATATACATAAAATGGAGTTCTACTGAGTCATAAAACAATAACAAAAATATGGCAATTGATGGTAAAAGGATGGAAATGGGGGATAATACCATGCTAAGTGAAATAAGCCAAACTCAGAAACTCAGAGGTTGATGTTTTCTCTTGTATGTGGAAGCTAGATTAAAATAAAGGAAAGGGGAGCTAAAGATGATATAAAGTACCAATCAAAAAGAGAGAATATAAAGTACTGATCAAAAAGACTTAAGACAGGGTCTTTCTAAGTTGCTTAGGGCCTTGCTAAATTGCTGAGGCTGGCTTTGAAATTGTGATATTCTGTCTAAGCCTCCTGAGCTGCTGGGATTACAGGTGTGTGCCCCTGTGCTCCACTCTAATATAAATTACTAGATGAGCAAAAGGAAGTCAAGTAGAGGAAGGGAATGGGAGAGGGGAGGGAGGACAGAAGGGAAAAGAGTTGGGGGGATCCAGAACTGAAATCGATTTCCATGCATGTATGAGTTTGTCTGGGTGAACCCAACCACTATGCATAACTATAAATAAAGAGAGAGAGAGAGAAAAAAAAAAAGACTATGTGCTGGGACAGACTCTGAAGAGTTACCACACTTCAAAACAGGCCTTTTGGGTTGGGTCTGAGGCTCAGTGAGAGCATTTGTAGCAAGTACAAGGCCTGAGTTCAACCTCCAGCACCACAAATAAAACCCCAAACAGGTCCTTGGCATCTCTGAGAGGTCTTGTCACAGGCTCTTCTCCACAGGTAAGGTAACTGTTAGTCACTCTCTAAGATGCCCCAGTCAGATCAGATCAGTGATCTGCATCCTTGTTTGTGGAGAAGAGAGGTGGCTGTGAACTGAGCTGGGAGTTGGGCCAGCACCATGGGGGGCTCACCTGACTGGGTGACGATCACACTGAACTGCAGCAGCTCTACAGAATGCACTGTCCAGTCGCTGTGTGAAGCAGTCAGCCGCTCCAGGAGGGGGCCCATGTGTTTGCGATAGAGGTCCTGGCTGCTGGGGACATTCTCCACCGAGGCCAATGCATTCATAGTCTCCTGGGCCTAGAGGATACAAGTCACAGGTTAGTACGATTCTCATTTTTAAGACACATGCATTTATGACAGTTCAGTGCTAGTGGCACCCAGGTTACAGAGCTCCAGGGCACAACTGCTCAAGAACCTTCTGACATTGGGTGTGAGCAGGGACTGGCCATGAACGGACATGGGGCCAAGTAGTTTTATGGCACTAGGGATTGAACCCAGGGTGCTCCACCACTGAGCTACACTCCCAGTCCTTTTCATTTTTTCAGTTTGAGACAGGGACTTGCATGTACCACTATGTCCGGTTCAAGTGGTTTAGAGACTATTTTCACCAAAGACTGTCCTTTCACCCTCCTTCACTTAGCTCTCCCATGCCCTCAGATCTCAAAGCAAAATCAGGTATGCAAATGGCTCTGGAGGGGACAAGGGCAAGAGTGGTTAAATGTCAGGCTGGCCAGCCACCCATTCATTCTCCTGAGCCTTCCTCCCCAGGTTCAAACACATGAGGAAGTCCTCCAGATCTTGGTGGCAGCTGCCCAGCAGCCTCTCCTGCCAGCCCATGGTGCTCAACTTCCTTCCTGTGGCTCCAAGGCACCACCTTGCTAGTGTTTATGGCCTCAATAGTGACAAGCTGACTGCAAAGACACGTGCCCTTTGCAAAGGCTATTTTCAAAGGTATAAAAAAAGTTTAAAGAGGCCTCAAGAAAAGAAAAAGAGGGCAGCAATCCCCTTCAATGTGAGGCTCCCTCTGGAAGAAGCCCCATAGGCCACCTAAGTCTCCCAGAGAGAACCAGCCCCAGGGTTGCTGAGAAATGGTGCTGGAGAGGAACCACATTCAACACCAGCCAGGGAGCAACACCCTGGGTCCCAAATGGTCCTTGAGCCCAGGGGCACTGGTGGATGAGAGACTTTTAGGTATAAATACAGTGCCAGTGTGACAGAAATAATCTTGCAGAGTGGAACTGCCATTAGCGCTCTGCCGTCGCACTTCCCTCTGGATTTGCAGCCACACAGGCATGTGTGCACTCCTGAGACCCCACTGATACCTGAAAATCTGAGGTTCCTTCTTTGCCATAGGCTCTGTGATTAACGGGCTTCCCTTCTAGATGCTAAAATACTTCTGCAGGTAGAGGGGATACCCCCATGGCCACCTCATGCATGACTCATCCCAACTGTCCCACATTCCTTCGTCTTGCTCACAGGGCACACCCCAAACCTGACATCCAGATGTAGAGGAGGCCTAGAGAAGATGATCACACTTCCTTTACAGCGTATGTTGGGGTCTCTATCAGTCTCACCTTATCTCCAAGTCCAGTGGCACCTGAGACAGCTATTATGGTCAGCAGCACCTCCATGAGCTGTAGGCTGGCTGCACTGCAGTCCTCCTGACATGTAGACACCAGGGCCTGCACACATAGCAGCAGGTGCTCCAGGTAGAGGCTCTGGAAGAGACCAGAGGACAGCACTCAGTGCCCCGCGTGTGCCATCCCCAGAGCACACGACCCATGTGCACAGCAAAACCAGAGGACTCACCTGCCACATCAGCCACAAAAGGGCCCAGTTTAGACAGCACAGAGAGAGAACAGAGGCTGAGAGCTAAGGGCTCAGCTCACTCTGTGAAATGCTTAGTGGTATTTTAAGTTACATTTTAGAAGTTCATGAACGTCAGTAACATGTATTCTATGTTTACAAGAGAAATGACATGTATTTTGCATTCACTTTAAAATAACTCAGAGCTCTCCCTGCTCTCCCCAAGGGCTTTTTTTTTTTTTTTTTTTTTTTTTTAAAAGAGATGTAGAGGGAGGTAAAAGAACACAAAAGAGCTGGTGACCAAAGTGGGAGGTGGCACACGGAGTTGTATTTCTCTACTTTTCCTGCTTTTGTGCATTTTTGAATATTTCCATAAGGCTAGGTTTTAACAGAAACAAAATTGTCTATTTTAAAAAGTGCTTCCTGATGCAGAGGGGCACTAAAGGCTGGATGGTTTATACCATTTCCTTCTCAGCTTCAGCCATATCCACTACATTGTGTGGGTGGAGTGACAGAAGGGGCTGCAGCGTGTGAAGACACCAGGTGCTGCAGGGGCCAAGAATCCTAGGCTTCTGTTCACATGTACTTCTATGACTTCCCTGTAGCATGACTATCTTATGCATGCTTCACAGAGTATAGAATGAACTGGGTTAGTAGTCACATACATTAACTTATACATATGCTTTAGAAGAAAATGTATGTGTATTTGAGACAAATGCTTAAATATTTTTGTTTTTACTAATGGGGTATGAGCTCAAAAAAGTATGAAAATTATTTGGCTAGACAACAGAAGGGGTTCCAAAATTTCATGACCCACTCACTAGTGCCACAGTGCACGCAGAAATTCCCCTGCACCCAACTCTGTTCTGACCCACAGACATCCTGATCTGCAGGGCACCTGTCTGCCTACTCCCAAGAGCAGCTGCAGATTTCTGCTTTTATTCCACTTCTGATTTTCCCCATAGCCCTATTTCTTTTGGCCTGGATTTATTGATTGATTTCTAAGACTGCAATGTGATATGGGCCAATGTCTAGGTGACCTGACACATAAATCCAAGGAGCCATCATTTTTCAACTAAATCAAAGGGAATGCACTTTTAAAAGGTGTGCAGTCCTCTCAGCTTTGGTGGAGAGGTCTCACCACAAACCCAAATGAGAGGTGGGTAGAGGGCCGCGGGCATCATCTGAGGAAACAGCAAGACCTTAGCATCCCTTGCTTTCCCAACCAATCAAAGGATGTTCCATGTCACAGAGGAGAAAAGACACAGCAGGGGACAGTGCTGTCTCTTGCTTCTGGAATGCTATCTGCAAAAAGTAATTCACTAGCTAAAGCACCAGAGGTTTCCCACTGAGGTAAAGGTTATGTCCCTGTTCATTAAAGAGGATGAGTGAGCTGTGCTCACATTACAGCTTCATTTTGGTGACCTGTTGCTGATACATCCCAAGGACAAGAATCCAGTCTCCTTCAGTTGGGCCTAGGTACAGTGCCTGGGCCAGACATCAGAGAAGTACCTTTCACTACAGAGCCAGTCTCCCAGTGACCATGCCCAATCTAACTCACCGTGCACAAAATGGCTGCACAAATTCCTGTTTTAACATGGAATTTAGAAAATCTGGTGGTTTTTTTTTTTGGGGGGGGCGAGTAGAGTATACTAGGGATTGAATCCAGGGTGCTTAACCACTGAACCACATACTCAGCTCTTCTTCTTTTTAAAAATATTTTTAGTTATAGATGAGCAGACATAATACCTTTATTTTATTTATTTATTTTTATGTGGTGCTGAGGATTGAACCCAATGCCTCACACATGCTAGGCAAGTGCCACTGAGGCACAACCCCAGCCCTGCTCAGCCCTTATTAGTTTTTATTTTGAGACAGGGTCTCACTAAGTCGCTGAGGTTGCCTTTGAACTTGCGATCCTCCTGCTCAGCCTCCCAAATTACTGAGATTACAGGAGTGCACCACTGTGCCCAGCTGTTTGCTCTTGAAAGACATTCTTAACCTGTTCCTATGGTCACTGAATAGTTCTAGGAAACACAAACTACTTCCCAAAGGATAGGACTCAGACACAGTGGGTGAGCTGCCCATGAATAGGAACTTAGCTGTGTCAATTCAGAAGCAACAATGACCCTTGACCTGGATGTTTGTCCTTTCTTGCCAAAAACTTGAATCTGTTGGGAAAGGAGTAAAGTGACCTGAGTTCTTATTATGACCAAGTTTTGGCCTCAGGGTTGGAACACTTGGCCTATGCACTATCAAACTGGGTCAGAAAGGGGCCTCTCTGCATGAAAGGTCATTGAGTAAGTTTGTCCTGGATTGAACCAGAGATGAGGAGCCAAAAATACATCATGGCCCATAAGGTTCAAGTTCTCTGCTACTAGCACTGAGAAATGAAAAGATTATTTTCTTTGCTATTAAGTTTGTACACATTTAAACACCTATATACATTTATTTATGCGCGCGTGCATGCATGCATGCACACACACACACACACACACACACACACACACACACACACACGCCTATATGTATTTTCTTCTAGAAAAAGAATGCTCCTGGCCTATAAATCTATATAAGAAACCAAAATCTTCTCAGAACTACTCAGAAGTAAAACTGCAGAACTTACATAGATTATGTGTTGTGTTAAGAATGGGTTTTGGGGAGAGCCGAAATGCAGCCAAAACCCCACCAATAGCAGCCGGTCCCCATTCCCGCCCGACCTCTGCTCTGCTTTCCTCTCTTGCTCATCTCAGATATTGCTTACAGGTTTCTTAAAGTGGATTATAAAGTGACTTAACTGTACGCCTCTCGCTTGAGAACAGAGAAAGGGCCTGGACAGAGGACCAGGGGCTAACTGATCCCAGCCAGTGCTCCCTCTGGCCCAGCTGCTAAAAAACTTCAAGCCAGAGCATATGCTGCCTCTGGGGCATGCCCAGGCCTGTGGAGGACAGTAGGGCCCAGTCTCTTGATAGGAGTGTCTAAGGTGCATGAAGGATGCATGGTCAAGTCTAACACATCCAAATAAAATAGCCATTATTTTGTTTTCAGCAGAAACAATGACAAATTAATGTAAGTGATTGAGCCAACCCACCTAGTTTGTCTCATCCTCAGATGAGAGGCATCACTGCTCAACTTAAGACAAGCTGTCTGCCTGCATGTCCTTGGCCAGCTACACCAAGGCTTTATCCAAATGCCAAGTGGCATGGGTAAGAAACAAGTGCTTGTCAATCACTAAGGATGCACTGCTCGTTCCAAGTACAATGTGACAGGTGTGACTCCTTCTCTTGGAGGTAGTCCAGGGTTCTCAGAGCTGAGCCACCAACCTTTGACCCTCTTTGGCCTGTGACCACCCACAGCAGCATGTTATGGCAGACTGTCATGTCATGTCAATGGACATGTCTATCCTATGCTGTCCAACAAGGTGGCTACTGGACACTTGACACATGGCCAGAGCAACCAAGAAAAGGAAATCTTAGTTTAATTTTAACTAATTTAAATGGCTGTCTGTGGCTGGTGTCAATGGTACTGGACAGAGCAGTGAGGTCCCTAAACCAGAGGACCCTGGACATGTCTGCCAGGCCTGGTACAGACATGCTGCAGCCTGCTAACAAGCACCATCAGTAGTTATACTGGAACAGCCAGGTGGGACACCTCCCAACCCCCGTGCCAGGACGCGCTCTCCTTGCCTGCCCCTTCACTGCACCACCTTACGTTTTCAGATGCCTGGCAAATGTGGGCCTGGGCTAGCTCCATGGCGATGACCTTGAGGTGTGGCTGGAGGGCATCCCGTGGGCAGCCTCGAATGACTGAAGCAAGGACCAAAAGGCTAGAGGAAGAGGGTGCCTTCTTCAGCATCGACAGGATCAGCTTCAGAAACACTTCCGGGCTGACAAATGTCCCAATCAGTTCTGCGGACTTCATGCACTGTGTGGGGACATGGAAGACAGTAAGGGGGTTTGGAATACCTGGCCACACTGGGGTTTAAAACACTGGGTTACACCTGGAGTTTGCAACACCTGGCCACATCTGGGGTTTGGAACACCTGGCTACACCTAGAGTTTGGAACATAGGACCTCACCTGGGAGTATGGAACACCTGGCCACACCTGGGGTTTGGAACACCTGGCCACACCTAGGGGTATGGAATTCCTGCTTACACCTCAAGCCCTTCATCAGATATTGGTGACTTGAACTTCTTATTAATAATTGGCACAACACACACAGCACCTCCACAGCCCAGATTCTACTTGGTAAGAGAAAGAACAACTGCTGAGATCCATAGCAACTGGGTTGATCTCAAGGCATTATATGTAAAGAAAGTTAATCCCAAAGGCCACATGCTGATTCCATTCATAAGACACTCCCAGGGTGATATAATACAGAGAGAGGGAGCAGGTGAGGGCTGCCAGGAGGCGGTGGCAGTAGTTGGAGGAGGCCTGTGGTACTGGGTGGCCCTGTACCTACTCCCATGGTGGTGCCCAGAGCCTATACAGGGATGAAGGGCGTGCAGCACACGTGGTTTAGCGATGCTCAAGAGGTGCCCATCACCCTCACTTCTCATCCATTGTAAGATTAGACAGAGATACAAAATAGTGGGGAAAGTAAAAGCTTACAAGCTGTATAGAGACACAAATTGCATACAGCCTGGCTCTGTGAAGTGATAAACCTTTAAGTGACGCCAAAAAAGTGAAGCTATATTTTGTAAAAAAATACTAAAAACAATTTAAAACCGATGGTAGTTTTTCTTAAAATTTTTGCTTATATTCTTTTTTAAATATTTATTTTTTAGTTATAGGTAGATATCTTTATTTTATTTTTATGTGGTGCTGAGGATTGAACCCGGTGCCTCACATATGGTAGGCAAGCGCTCTACCTCTGAGTCACAACCCCAGCCCCCTGATGGTAGGTTTTGAAAAGTAAAAACACGTGACATGAGCTGGGCACCGTGGCACACACCACACCTGCAATCCCAGTGGCTCAGGAGGCTAAGGCAGGAGGATCACAAGTACAAGTCAGCCTTAGCAACTTAATGAGGCCTTAAAAGGCAACTTAATTAGACCCTGTCTAGAAAAATAAAAAAGGGCTGGGGATATGGTTCAGTGACATATACATATATGTGCATGTATATAAATATATAAAGAGGGAGTTGTGTGAAGGGTATGTATGTGAGAGAGAGAGGGGAAGAGAGAGAAAGGGAGAGGGAGAGAGAGAGAGACAGACAGATGACATGAAAGTAGGCTTTAAATGGCTCTTTTTTTTTTTTTTGTATTGAGGATTGAACCCAGGGGCACTTAACTACTGAGTCATATCCCTGCTCTTTTATTTTTTATTTATTTTTTCTAGTTGTAGATGGATACAATACATTTATTTTATTTGTTTATTTTTATGTGGTTTAGGGGATCGAACCCAGTGCCTCACACATGCCAGGCAAACACTCCACTACTGAGCCAAAACCCCAGCCCTCCCTGCTCTTTTAAAAAAAGAAAAAATTTACTTAGAGACAGGGTCTTGCTAAGTTGCTCAGGTCCTCGCTAAGTTGCTGAGGCTGGCTTTGAACTTGTGATCCTCCTGCCTCAGCTTCCAGAGCCGTTGGGATTACAGGTGTGTGCCACCATGCCCAGCAGGAATGTTCTGTATCCTTACTGTGCCAGCCATAACACAATTACCTGCTTGTAACCCAGCCCTGCACACCCCAACAGGCTGAGACTCACCACCCATATACACAAATGGAAACAGGCCACTCACACTGCTAACCACGGCCTTCTCCTCATCAGCACAGGCCTGCTGCAGGGTTCTGAGGATGATTTCCAAGTGCTGAGTGGTATGGTCCTCTGCGTGCAGCAGCAGTACTGGCAGGAGCTGTGCAGACTTCACCCTGGTCCCCACTACCCAGTCGGTGATGTCCCGACAGATGGCAGGAAGGACCTTGGAGAGGTTCCTGAAGACCAGCTCCCGACAACCTAGCCCAGGGCGGCTCTCTGGGGATCAAAAAGATGAGACCCATGAGTAGAACCCAGCAACTTGTGTGGAGAGCAACTTATGACACCTTATTCTAGGCACCTGAAGTCCTGAGATCTTACAAATTCAGAATCCCTTGAGATAGAATGAGGCCAGAGTCAGAATTCATCTTGGAGTATTGTTTATGGCTCTGCTGAAGCCTAAGTGATGCACGACAAGCTTCACACACTTAAAGTGTGCATGTGATGAGCTCAGACACAGGGACATGCCTGCAGAACCACCACCAACCCCTAGTCCCCAACACTGCTCTGCAGTGGCCGACCCTCCCCCAACAGCACTGACCGGCTCCCCACACTACAGACCAGACTGCATTTTCTCACATTTTTATATAACTGGAACTGGACAGAGTATATCTTTTTTTGGTCTGGCTTCTTTCGCGCTGCATAATCAAGGGACAATGTGTCTGTTCCCTTTTACTGCTGAGAAGTACTCATGATTCGGATGTGCCAGTTTATCCACCGGCCATCTGCTCAAGAGCACAGTCGTTTCCGGTTTGAATGCTATGAACTTGAATGTGCAGGTCCTTGTGTGGACACGTGCTGTTACTGTTTTTTTTTTAAGTTGTAGTTAGACACAATACCTTTATTTTATTTATTTTTATATGGTGCTGAGGATCGAACCCAGTGCCTCACACATCCCAGGCAAGCGCTCTGCCACTGAGCCACAACCCCAGCCCACATGCTTTTCCTTTTCCCTGGTAAATATCCAGCTGTGAAATGGCTGGCTCATGTGGCAGGTATGGTCAATGTCTTAAGAAACTACCTGACTGTTCTCTCTTTTTTTTTTTTTTTTTTTGTGGAACCAGAAATTGAACCCATGGTGCTTAACCACTGAGTCACATCTCCAGTCCTTCTTTATTTAGAATTAGAGTCAGGGTCTTTCTAAATTTCTTAGGGCCTTGTTAAGTTGCAGAGGCTGGCTTTGAACTCCTGATCCTCCTGCCACAGCCTCCCAAGCTGCTGAAATTACAAATGTGTGCCACTATGCCTGGTTCCACCTGTTTTCTAAGGTGGCTGTTCCACTTTACATTCTGTCATCAGTGGGTGAGGGCTCGGCTGCTCCCCAGCCTCTGACTTTAGTAGGCTCAGAACGCTGGGTGGTCCTTCCTGCAGTCTGACCTGTAGCTCTCTGATGACAAATAGCTGTGAGCAGCACTTTTCAGCTTGTTTCCTGTTATCTTTCTTGGTGATGCGTCTTTTCAAATCTTTTTTGCCCATTTAAACAAGATCGTTTTCTTTGAGTTTTGAGATTCAAAATTTGGCATACGAGTCCTTATGCATATAATTTGCAACAGTTTTTTGTTGTTGTTTAATATTTTTTAGTTTTAGGAGGACACAATATATTAATTCACATTTATGTGGTGTGGAGGATCGAACCCAGTGCCTCATCATGCATGTGAGGCCAGCACTCTACCACTGAGCCACAATCCCAGCCCCTTGCAACAGTTTTCTCAGTCTTTGGCTTGTCTTTTCATTCTCTTAACAAAGTCTTTAAAAAAAGCAAAGGTTTATATTCTGATGAGGTTCAATTTATTACCTATTCTTTTATGGACTGTGCTTTTAATGATGTGTCTAAGAAAGATTGCCTGACCCAAAGTCACACCAAGGCTTTATCCTAGAAGTTCTTAGGTTTGAGTTTTACATCTAGGCACATAATGTATGTAATGACCAATCTGAATTGTCAACTTGATTGGATTAAGAGATACCAATGATTAAGAGGCTTATGGTGTGTCAAAGAGGGCGTGTATGGGAATGATTGGCATGTGGGATAGCCAATTGAAATAGAGACCCTCCCTAAGTGTGGGCAGCACTGTTCAGTAGGATGATGGCTTGGATGGAATAAAAATTGGAAGAACAAGGAAACAGCAGCAGTTGCAAGCTCAATTCTTCTTGAACGGGTTCTTGATTGCTGCTGCAATCATCTTAGGATATTAGACTTCTGCGTCTTCAGTCTTCCAAAGTAGACTCTGCCAGTGATTCTCCAGAGGCTTTCAGTCTTGGACTAGGGTAGCACCATTGATTTTTCTTGTTCTGGGGCTTTAGACTCTTGGACTGTGCTGATTCTTCCCAGCTGTCCAGCCTGCAGGTAGCCATTATGGACTATCCAGCTTGAGCCAACCTAATAAGTCTCCCTTTTATAATTATACTTCCTGTTGATTTTGTTCCTCTAAAGAACCCTAATGCAATGTATCTTGGATTGCTTATTTATTTATTTATTTTAGGGAATTGAACCCAGGGTGCTTTTCCACTGAGTCACATCCCTCGCCCTTTATTTTGAGACAGGGTCTTGCTAAGTTCCTTAGGGCCTAAGTTGCTGAGGCTGGCTTTGAACTTGCAATCCTCCTGCCTCAGCCTCCCAAGACACTGGGTTTACAGGTGAGTGTCACTGCACCTGGCTTGGGTTGCTTTTTGTGTATCACACAATGCGTAGACTCAAGTTTACTCTTTGGCCTATAGACAGTCCAATCACAACAGCATCATTGTTGAGAGACTTTTTTTTTTTTCTTTCTCTGCAAAATTGCTTTGACTTTTGTCAAGATCCAGTTGTCTACATGTGTCTGTTTCTGGATGCTCTACTCTGTTCCACTGACCTACCTTTTGCCAAAACCGCACTGTCTGGTTTTCTGTAGTTTCATAACAAGTCTTAGAGCCAGGTAGTGTTAATCTTCCAGCTTTGTTATTCACTTACAAAGTTTTCCTGGTTTTGGTCCTTTATATCTCCATGTGAATTTTAGAAAAAAAAATTGTTGATTTTTACCAAAACAGCCTTTGAGGACTATGATTAACAGACTTTGACCTTAAAAATTCAAAACAAGACTAAAGATAGCAACGAAACCATGACATGTCAGAATTTAAAGTGTATTTAAAAAAAGAACAGCTTGTACCATAAAAACCCACTTTTAACTTTTATTCTCATTATTTTTCTATTTTTATACCATATTAGAGAATTAGTTCCAAATGATTCAAATTCTTTTTGGCTATTTAAATGAGCTTGTCATATATATATTTTTTAAAACAAAGGGCCAAAGTGCAAATAACTATTCTCCTACTGACAACGGAGAAGTCTGTGGAAACAAGGGAAATGCCCAACTGGGGCAGTTGGGAAGGGTCTGTTGGCCACTGGAAGTTGAGTCTGCATGGCATTTTTTAAATTGCCGGGTTTGTGCTATGTAGGTTCTGAAGCCTCATTTTCTGCATTTATTACAGCCCACATAATATTCTTTTTTTAAAAATATCTATCTTTTAGTTTTAGGTGGACACAATATCTTTATTTTATTTTTATGTGGTGCTGAGAATCAAACCCAGTGACTTACGCATGCTAAGCGAGTGCGCTACCACTTGAGCCACATCCCCAGCCCCAGACATAATATTCTTTTGGACCAGGTATCAGCAAACTGTGTGGCTCATGAGCCATACCTGGCTGCTGTCTGTTTATAAAGTTTTATTGGGACACAGCCTTGTCCACTCAATCACACCATCTGAGCTGCTCCGACATCACAAAGGTAGCTGCTCCAGGCCTGGGAAACAGGCTGCCTTTCATAGAAAAGAGCAGACAACTCTGGTCTCCAGCACAGAGACTTCCAACACAGCAGCTGCTGCCACACGTGGCTGTTTAAACTTCAGCTCATAATATGTATATGCATAAACAATTTTGGTCTTCAGTCGCATGTCCCTGTCCCAAGTGCTTGACAATCATGTGGCCAGTGACTGCTGCATAGGACAGCCCAGAAGCAGACCACTCTGGCAATGCAGAGGGCTCTGCTGGTCAGCACCACTCCAGGTGACGGCAGTTTGCAGATCGATTTTAACAGCGACAGAGAGGATATTAGGACAAGGCCCTGGTAATTCCTTTCTTCTCATTAAGACTATGATGAACATCTGTATGTAAATATTTTTATATATCTGATTGCTTAAATTAGATTGCTTTAAATGCTAAAAATAGAATGGTTGGGTCAATGAGGATGTATATTAGGATCCCCAAATAGAGCCTGTACCAATCTATTTTTCCACAAGGAGCACCATTCTTTAAAAATGGGACTTTGGGGCTCTGGTTGTGGCTCAGTGGTAGAGCTCTTGCTTAAGCATTTGTGTGGAACTGGGTTTGATCCTCAGCACCACATAAAATATACATACATATAAAATAAAGTTATTTGAAAAATGGAGGGGGCTTTTGCTTTTCTTTCCTAAAGAAGTAATACAAACCAGATATATTCAAGCAGCTCCAAGATAATGAAGAAGCTATATCTTACCCCTGCCCTGCCCAATTCCTTGTCCCCTCCCTGGAGACTACACCCCACCCCTTCCTGTGCAGCCCTGAGAATGGTCTGAGTGCAGAACCACAAATGAACACCCAGGGTACTGAAATTTCCCCACCAGCATAAGGTATCCGAAGCTCCATCTACCAGCCCTCAAGCCCTGCTACCATAAGCTGTTTGCACACACTTTTGCACATGTGGGTGGGCACAGTTACAGGACTGATTCCTAATCCCAGCAGAACTTCTGGGTCAAGATATATGTGTGTTTTCTTTATTTATCTAGCATGTTCATCTGCTATCTGCCCAACATGTCCAAGACTGTGCTGAGAATCAAAAAGGGGCAGATGACTCTGGGCTAAATTCAACTGCTCATTTGATTTGGTGAATTCAACTAACTGGTACCTAAGTTTCCAAAGTAGTAATTTCCAAAATTATCAGGCTGGCAGAATGAAACCTTCTTTTTCCAAATCTCAAAGTGGTTTCCATGGGAATATATAAACAAAATGAACAGGATTTAAGGTATAAACAATCTTAGTTTGTTCTGTGAAATCAGCGAGAATCAAACAATAAAAACAAATGTCAAGTGATCAAGCACAGACACATGCAGAGCTGCAGCTGCGGGGACAGGCAGGCAGAGCCAGGCAGTGGCTCTGGCCTCCCTTCAAGAGCTCCATCATCTCCGCACTCCACTCAGATTCCTGTCCT